TTTGCTTTTTTTTAAATGAAAAATTCTCGATTCAACAACCAACCGCGGCCTTCGGCAGCTTTGGTCACCCCCAACGGCGGTTGCGACTAAAATGGAGAGAAAGGCGCGGTTGGCCGACAGCTTTGAATTCTTATTATATATAATAACAAGCCAACTCGTAAATAAAAAACTCCTGCTCCCGGCCGAAGGCCGGGAGCCTCCTGAAAGTTGTACATCCCGGGGGGTACTTTTTACGGGGCATCTGGGAAAAATCTGAAATCGGCGCCACGACTTTCCCTTTGCGCCGAAACGACCCCACTAAATTTTTTATCTCGTGAAATAAAAGTCGGAGCGCTTAGGTCCCGCTGAAAGGGCCCTAGAGCTCGATTAGTAGATATCGAATAAAAAAAAAATTTCGAAATTCGGTGAAGTCTAAATACCGAAGTGCCTTGTCATTGGTTTTTATTTGGTCCGAAAACCAATTAATTGGTTTTTCGATTTTCTATATCTCGTGAACGGCTGGGAGGATTAAGATGGGGCCTGGGGGATTATAGGTAAGTGGCTATGGGGAATTTTTTGGGATGGGTCATTTTGGTGCCACACTCAAATGTGGCACTGAAATGGCCGGATGCATGATTCAAAAGGTTATAGCTATTTTTAGAGAAGTTTGGGGTCTTAGGGCATGGGAGCAATGTTGGAGGGTAGAGTGTGGGGAAGTTATCGGCTGTTGACCACTTGAGTCTCGGGTGAACTTTTGGGGGTCATATGGGTCAAAGTGTCAAAGTCGAAAAGTCGACTTTTTGTAAAGTGAATTGAAACCCGGTTTCGATAGCCAGATCGAAAGAGCGTCCCCTGGCGGTCAGAAAAAGGTATAATATGTTGGGGGTCTACTTGAGTCTCAAAAAGTTATAGGCGTTGTGGCAAAATGTCCGAAAAATTTATGAGACTCTAACGTCCCGGGGAATTTTTTTTTAATTTTTCTGACGCCGGATTCGTACTCAGCGCATGTCAGAGTACCATATAGGCCGTTTTTTGGGTCAAAATTTCGAAATTTTGTCCCACCCCCTATTTCCAAAGGGGTACCCTTTTTGGGGAAAATTCGGGATTTTTTAGGGGACCTTAACTTTTTTTTGGATTGATGGATCGGGATGGGGTTTGCTTTATAAAATCGAGTACAAAATTAGGTATTTTTAGAGCAAAGAAAATTTTGAAAAAATTAGAAATTGGGCCCGCGGGGGTCGAATTTCGAAAATTCGAAAAATTTTTGGTTTTTCGAAAAAATTTCGGGATTTTTGCCGGCGGTTCGAACCGAAAATATTTTTCTTGGATAGAGCAGATTTTTCTGCACAGAATAAGATTTTAAAATCTTAAAAAAAAGTTAACTTTGAGAAAGTTATGAATTTTTAAAAATTTAGTCGATTTTTTCGGCCAAAATTTTCGGCCAAAAAAATAAATTTTTCAAAATGGCCATAAATAGACCAAATGTTATATCATTCGGAAGCCCTTACCGAGGGGAGTCTAAAAATATTTTTTCTGAAATTTTCTGATCACTTTGGCAAAAGTTATAAATGGTCGAAATTTTGGGGGAGGGGTACTCTTATACTCATATCTCCCCCAAAAGTTCATCCCAGACTCAAATGACCAACTACTTATAAGTTCCCCACACACTGCCCTACAACATCACTCCCAGGCACGAAAACCCCCGACCCTTCAAAAAACCGTTATAACACGTTGAAATTTTCAAATGGCCGTTTCAGTGCCACTCTTGAGTGTGTCACTGAAATGACCATGTCCATTGAATTCGCCATGGCCGATTACCTATTATCCCAATATGTTTTTGCCCCGTTTGGTCTTTTCTCAATTTTGACCATTTTTCCATGTACCATTTTGTCGCGAAAAAAGGCTGAAGTATTTATTTTTCTAATTTTTTATTTTTTTAAAAAACCCCCCTAAAATTTAAAATTTTATGTAATCGGGAACCCTTGGGGCTTTTTTGTCTGAAATTTGGGATATTAGGTAATCGGCCCTGGGGAATCCATTGGGCATGGTCATTTTGGTGCCACACTTGAATGTTGCACTGAAGTGTCCTGTTTCGGTAACTTTTGGTCCATTTGGTCTTAAACTTAGGCATATATGTAATTGGCCTCGGGGAATTCAGCTGTCATTGTCGTTTTGGTGCCACACTTGAGTGTGGCACTGAAACGTCCTATTTTTTTCAAAATCACCCAAAATTAATTTTTAATTAAATTTTTAAATTTTTTTTCATTTTTAGCCAAAAAAATTAAAATATTTTAATTAATTACTCTTATACCTATAAAAAAGACAAATTTCCATTTTAAAAACTATTATCGGCCGGCCGAAGGCCGGACGCTCGACAGAAGCGTGACATCTTGGGGGGTACTTTTTACGGCGCATTCAGGAAAAATACGAACTCGGCGCCACGACTTTTCCTTTGCGCCGAAACGACCCCATGGATTTTGCTATCTCGTGAACTAAAAGTCGGAGCGGAAAGGTCCCGCTGGGAGGCACGCGCCCCACTATTAGTGGATATTAATGAAAAAAAAAATTTTGAAATTCGGTGAAGTCTAAATGTCGAAGTGCCGTGTTAACCGTTTTTAAATGTTGGCAAAATGTGGTGCCATTGGAGGTTGGCAAAATGTGGAGGTGCGAGATCTCGGGAACGGCTGGGCGGATTAAGATGGGACCTGGGGGTTTATAGTTAAACGGCTATGAGAAATTTTTTGGGCATGGCCATTTTGGTGCCGCACTTGAGTGTGGCACCGAAACGGCCGGATGAAAAATTCAAAGTGTTATAACTCTTTTTTGAGAAGTTGGGGGTTCTTGGGCCTGGGAGTGATGTTGGAGGGTAGAGTGTGGGGAAGTTATAAATAGTTGGACATTTGAGTCTCGGGTGAACTTTTGGGGGTGTTTTGGGTCAAAGTGTCAGAGTCGAAAAGTCGACTTTTTGTATTGTGAATTGAAACGCGATTTCGATAGCCAGTTCGAAAGAGCGTCCCCTGGCGGTCAGAAAAAGGTATAATATGTTGGGGGTACACTTGAGTCTCAGAAAGTTATAGCCATTGTGGCGAAATGGCGCGAAACTTTTTGAGACTCTAACGTCCTGGGGAATTTTTTTTAAATTTTTCTGACGCCGGATTCGTACTCAGCAGGTGCGAGAGTACCATATAGGCCATTTTTTGGGTCAAAATTCGAAAATTTTGTCCCACCCCCTATTTCCAAAGGGGTACCCCTTTTGGGGGATTTTCGAGATTTTTTTGGTGGCCATAACTTTTTTTTGGATTTTCGGATTGAGGTGGGGTTTCGTTCATAAAATAGTATAAAAAATTAGAAATTTTTTAAGCTGAAAAAATTTCGAAAAAAGTCGAAATTTGGGGTGTAGGGTCGAATTTCGAAAACCCGAAAATTTTTCGGTTTTTCGAAAAAATTTCGGGTTTTTTGCCGGCGGTTCGGGGCATAGCTATTTTTCCTGGATAGAGCAGAATTTTCTGCATAGAATAAGATTTTAAATTTCTTCAAAAAGGTTACTTTTGAAAAAGTTATGAATTTTTTAAAAATTCGGCTATTTTTTTGGCCTAAATTTTCGTCCAAAAAAATTATTTTTCCAAAATGGCCATAGATGGGCCAAATGTTATATCAATCGAAAGCTCTCATCGAGCTGAGCATAAAAATATTTTTTCTAAAAATTTCTGACCCTTTTGTCCAAAGTTATGATAGGTCAAAAGTTTGAGTCTGGGGTTGCACTTAGGCCGGTGGGGTACCAAAGGAGGGGCAATTAATCAAATATGGTCCGGTAATGTTATAGAGCATCTCCTGGGGCTCCGAAAAATATATACTTTTTGGGGGTTCCATAAGAGTCTGAGTGAGTTAAGCCGTTTTATAATTTTTGAGTCTGGGGGTTAATTTAGCTGGTGGGGTACCTAAGGAGGGGGAATAAGTTAAAAAGACTTACGTTATAATGTAGAGCATCCTGAAATCCATCTAAAAATTTAAAATTTTAACGGGTCACTTGAGTCTGACATTGTTATGGCGGTCAGAGTTTTCGTTTGGGGAGGATTTTCGGAAAATTGGCGTTTGAGGGGGGCCGAAGGCCCCCCTATTCGTCTAAACAAAGGGTTTGGGGGGCCGAAGGCCCCCCAAACGCCTCGGGTCAACCCACCACAGCCACTAAAAGGCACAGTATTCGTCTAAACAAGGGGTTTGGGGGGCCGAAGGCCCCCCAAACGCCTATGGTCAACCCACCATAACCACTAAAAGGCATAGTATTCGTCTAAACAAAGGGTTTGGGGGGCCGAAGGCCCCCCAAACGCCTCGGGTCGTCTAAACAAGGGGTTTGGGGGGCCGAAGGCCCCCCAAACGCCTATGGTCAACCCACCACAGCCACTAAAAGGCACAGTATTCGTCTAAACAAAGGGTTTGGGGGGCCGAAGGCCCCCCAAACGCCTCGGGTCAACCCACCACAACCACTAAAAGGCATAGTATTCGTCTAAACAAAGGGTTTGGGGGGCCGAAGGCCCCCCAAACGCCTCGGGTCAACCCACCACAGCCACTAAAAGGCACAGTATTCGTCTAAACAAAGGGTTTGGGGGGCCGAAGGCCCCCCAAACGCCTCGGGTCAACCCACCACAGCCACTAAAAGGCACAGTATTCGTCTAAACAAAGGGTTTGGGGGGCCGAAGGCCAACCAAACGCCTCGGGTCAACCCACCACATCCACTAAAAAACACAGTATCCGTTTAAAAACAAAGCAAGTTCTACCGAGGCCGAGGAGTCCCGTTCTGTCAACCCATCTAAAAGGCAGAGCAAGCAATGAAAAGGCAGGGCAAAATTTACCGGCGAGGGCCGAAGGCCCGAAGCAATGAAAAGGCAGGGCAAAACCTTAAGGCGAGGGCCGAAGGCCCGAAACAATGAAAAGGCAGGGCAAAACTTTAACGGCGAGGGTCGAAGGCCCGAAGCAATGAAAAGGCAGGGCAAAACTTTACCGGCGAGGGCCGAAGGCCCGAAGCAATGAAAAGGCAGGGCAAAACCTTAAGGCGAGGGCCGAAGGCCCGAAACAATGAAAAGGCAGGGCAAAACTTTAACGGCGAGGGTCGAAGGCCCGAAGCAATGAAAAGGCAGGGCAAAACTTTACCGGCGAGGGCCGAAGGCCCGAAGCAATGAAAAGGCAGAGGTAATCAAACATATTCCACGCATCCACACATTCTAGCAGCGCGCGAAGCGCGCCCCAAAGCCGATAGGCTTTCCAACGGGCACAACAAAATTTTACCGCCATTGCAAACATCAAAGATTTGCATACGTAACTTACCGCCTGCACCCCAATGGGCACAACTAGTTATATTATACTAAAAAAAACCACCAAGTGCCCCATCATTTGTGGGTAAAATCGGGCTTTTTTCGTTTAAAAACTAATTTGAGTCGAACGAGTTCCGGGGGATTTTTTTGAGTTGTACATTAGTCCTACAACTTTTTGACGCGCATTCAGGAAAATTATAGCCGTGGCGCCAAAACGTACCTCTGCGCCGAAACGGCCGTCGGTAAAATTCAAACGGCTGTAACTCGGAGAGGTGAAGTCGAACCAAAAAGTGACTGGGGCGAGGGCCCTAAGTTGGGATAGGGTCTATAACGCTGAAAAAAAATTGGAGGCCTGGGAACAACTGTCCGACCTGTGGAGGTTGGCAAAAATTCACCGATTGTCGGTGAATTGTCCTACCTCGTCCGACGAAATTGATCGACAATTTACAAATTATATACCAATCGAAAGCTCTCATCGAGCTGAGTCCGAAAAAATTTATTTTAATTTTTTCTGACCATTTTGAAAAAAGTTACACTTCGCCAAAGGTTCAAAATGTCTTGGACCCCTATCGGGAAGGGTGGCTCCCATTGGATGTAATTATAAAATTGCTTAAGAGAGGCCGAATCGCTCCAACTCTTTTTTAGTATGTTAGGGCACTTAGTTGGCTAAAATTTTGTTGGGGGCCACTTGAGTCTCGGATTTGGTTCTGGGGGTCATGAGGTTCAAAAGGTCCGGGTCGAAAAGTCGACTTTTTAATGCGTGAATTGAAAGTCGATTTGAGTTTCCTATGTTGTAGAGCGTCCTTTGAAACCTCTAAAAATATATACTTTGTTGGGGGTACACTTGAGTCTGGAAAAGTTATAGGGCAAAAAGTGACATTTTGGGGGTCAAAAATTGACCTTTATTGGGCTATAACTTTTTTTAAAATTTTTTTAAAAATAAAAGGGCTTCGGGAATGGATTCAGCACCTATCAGAGCACAATATAGCATATTTATCTCGAAGTCGAATTTTTCGACTCAGGTTCGACTTTTTGGGGGTCACACCCGGTGGGGTACCTGATTGAAAGTCTGAATGAAAACTTAATCCGGTGATGTTGTAGAGCATCTAAAACTACACTGAAATGTAAAATTTGGGCATGGTCCACTTGAGTCTCAAAAAGTTATGGCCAATGTACGCAAATGTCGTAAAACTTTTTGAGACTCTAACGTCCCTGCGAATTTTTTAAATTATTTTCGGAGGACGGTTATAGGCTCAGCGGGTCTTAATGTACTATATAAGCTTTATTTTATGTCGAAATTGAACTTTTATGTTTTCTGACACTATTTCCTTCAGGTTTTGACCTAAGACACGTTTTTTCGAAAATTTTTGCTGATTTTCAAATTTTTTATTGCAAGTGTTATATTTTTTTTAAAGCGCTCGGCCAGCCGCATCGAATAGGCTGTATTTTAATAGTTAGCATCATAATTTTAAAAATTACATTTTTTGGCGTTTTGTTATTTTTCCAAATTTTTTCTTTTTTTTTACGGTTTTATTTTTTCAATTTTTTCTTTCGTTTATGTTTAATTTTAATTATTTAAATATCTTTTATTATTCTTTGTTTGTTTTTAGTGTAGTTGTTTTGTTTTAGCCCGCTATGAGGGTTTATAATGAAAATTTGCCGTTATTGGGATCGGAAATTGCAATTATTTTCCGTTATGAGATGGAAAATGTGAGTATTTAACCAAAAAATTTTTTGATTTTTTTAACCAATTTTTTGTCTACTTTTCTTTTCTTTAGTGCCCGTCAACCTTTTAGAAGGCCAAGAAGCCAGATTTCTTCCTTTTTCAGTTTGTTTTTTAGTTTTTATTCTTTGCGCATAATTTAAGTTTTTCTTTTTTCAGGGGTCGGTAAACTTCATCTAAGACTTAATATTGCTGTGAGACCAATAGCAATCAAGTACTGTCAAGGAAAGTTGTAAAGCACTTTGAAGAGAGAGTTTAAGAGGGCGTGAAACCGGTGAGGTGGAAACGGATAGAGGTGGCGTTTTGCTGCCTTTTTTGGAGTGGCAGGTTTATTTGAATTTAAATGTTTTATTAACCTAATATTTCTAAGACTCAATATTGCCACGAGACCGATAGCAATCAAGTACTGTGAAGTGAAGTTGTAAAGCACTTTGAAGATTAAAGAGGACGTGAAACTGGCGAGGTGGAAACGGATAGAGTCGGCGTATCTTTCAAGTATTCAACGCGAGAGGTTTTTATTTTTTAGATTTCTTCCTTTTTTAAAGAATATTTCCTTTTTGCGGGTTCGCAAATCTTGAGAATTTCTCTGGCTTTTTAGGTTTTTCATTTCCCTGTGGTTATCTAAAATTTCAAAGGTCAAGAAGCCATATTTCTCCCAGCAATGAGTATGCGTTTTACGTCTATAGGAAGGTTGAGCCGCAAATTTCGGGAAAAGAAAAATTTGGGGAGTGGAAATTTGGGAAATTTGGGGATTTTAAAAACTGTATCTTTCTTTTGTAAGGCGTTTGCGCTTGAATGATCGTCAAAAATACTTTCTTAGTTCGGTTTCCAAAATTCTCAAAAATTGTTTCCATTTTTTTGAGATATATTAATTGAGATATTAATTGAGATATAAACATTATAAGTGGGGTACGCGTTTACGGAGTGTCCTCCTCAGTGGTGTGCAGTTGCAATTTTCGTCTTTCGCCTTTCGCTTTTTAAAATCTTTTTGGCACTTCTTACTTTTTTCGTCTTTCGCTTTTTAAAATCTGTTTCAGCACACCACTGCCCATCATTCAATATTTATTTAAAATATTTTGATTTAAATTTTATTTAATTTATTTTTTGATATTATTTTGGTTATTTTTTGTTTGATTTTTTTGCCAATTTGTTGTTTAATTTTTATTTTTTGAATTTATTTGTTGGTAAAAGTTTTTTGAAAAATTTGTTTTATATAGTTTTGCTATATCCATATTCAAAAAGTATTTACAGCACATCATAATTAGTTGAAACAAATAATTTTGCCGTGTTTATTTCTTTCACTTCTTCCAGACGGTATTTTAGTTGAAGTACGAAATGGTTGATCATTTCTTCCTTACATAATTTAAATGTATTATATATTAAATGTGACAACAACCTTCTAGCCGCGCGCGAAGCGCGCCCCAAAGCCGATAGGCTTTCCAACGGGCACCCCAAAATTTTACCGCCAGAGTATGCTATTCGCGCCATCGCATACGTAACCCACAGCTAGTTATATTATACTAAAAAAAACCACCAAGTGCCCCTTCTTTTGTGGGTAAAATCGGGCTTTTTTCGTTTAAAAACTAATTTGAGTCGAACGAGTTCTCGGGGATTTTTTTGAGTTGTACATTAGTCCTACAACTTTTTGACGCGCATTCAGGAAAATTATAGCCGTGGCGCCAAAACGTACCTCTGCGCCGAAACGGCCGTCGGTAAAATTCAAACGGCTGTAACTCGGAGAGGTGAAGTCGGATCAAAAAGTGATTGGGGTGAGGGCCCTAAGTTGGGATAGGGTCTATAACGCTGAAAAAAAATTGGAGGCCTGGGAACAACTGTCCGACCTGTGGAGGTTGGCAAAAATTCACCGATTGTCGGTGAATTGTCCTACCTCGTCCGACGAAATTGATCGACAATTTACAAATTATATACCAATCGAAAGCTCTCATCGAGCTGAGTCCGAAAAAATTTATTTTAATTTTTTCTGACCATTTTGAAAAAAGTTACACTTCGCCAAAGGTTCAAAATGTCTTGGACCCCTATCGGGAAGGGTGGCTCCCATTGGATGTAATTATAAAAATGCTTATGAGAGGCCGAATCGCTCCAACTCTTTTTTAGTATGTTAGGGCACTTAGTTGGCTAAAATTTTGTTGGGGGCCACTTGAGTCTCGGATTTGGTTCTGGGGGTCATGAGGTTCAAAAGGTCCGGGTCGAAAAGTCGACTTTTTAATGCGTGAATTGAAAGTCGATTTGAGTTTCCTATGTTGTAGAGCGTCCTTTGAAACCTCTAAAAATATATACTTTGTTGGGGGTACACTTGAGTCTGGAAAAGTTATAGGGCAAAAAGTGACATTTTGGGGGTCAAAAATTGACCTTTATTGGGCTATAACTTTTTTTAAAATTTTTTTAAAAATAAAAGGGCTTCGGGAATGGATTCAGCACCTATCAGAGCACAATATAGCATATTTATCTCGAAGTCGAATTTTTCGACTCAGGTTCGACTTTTTGGGGGTCACACCCGGTGGGGTACCTGATTGAAAGTCTGAATGAAAACTTAATCCGGTGATGTTGTAGAGCATCTAAAACTACACTGAAATGTAAAATTTGGGCATGGTCCACTTGAGTCTCAAAAAGTTATGGCCAATGTACGCAAATGTCGTAAAACTTTTTGAGACTCTAACGTCCCTGCGAATTTTTTAAATTATTTTCGGAGGACGGTTATAGGCTCAGCGGGTCTTAATGTACTATATAAGCTTTATTTTATGTCGAAATTGAACTTTTATGTTTTCTGACACTATTTCCTTCAGGTTTTGACCTAAGACACGTTTTTTCGAAAATTTTTGCTGATTTTCAAATTTTTTATTGCAAGTGTTATATTTTTTTTAAAGCGCTCGGCCAGCCGCATCGAATAGGCTGTATTTTAATAGTTAGCATCATAATTTTAAAAATTACATTTTTTGGCGTTTTGTTATTTTTCCAAATTTTTTCTTTTTTTTTACGGTTTTATTTTTCCTCTATTCCGTTAGAAAGTTATTTTGGCCGTAGAAGTTATTTTGGCCGTAGATTCGGCGGGCCTTCGGCGGGCCGAAGGCCCGCCGAGATTTCCAAAGCTTTTAATTTAATATAGCAGAAAAAACCTTCTAGCAGCGCGCGAAGCGCGCCCCAAAGCCGTTAGGCTTTCCAACGGGCAGAGCATAAAAATCAAAAAGTATCGTAACTAAACCTATTGCATACGTAACTTACCGCCATACCCCAATGGGCACAACTAGAAAGTGAACCAAAAAGTGAACCAAAAAGTGACCAAAAAGTGATTGGGGTGAGGGCCCTAAGTTGGGATAGGGTCTATAACGCTGAAAAAAAATTGGAGGCCTGGGAACAACTGTCCGACCTGTGGAGGTTGGCAAAAATTCACCGATTGTCGGTGAATTGTCCTACCTCGTCCGACGAAATTGATCGACAATTTACAAATTATATACCAATCGAAAGCTCTCATCGAGCTGAGTCCGAAAAAATTTATTTTAATTTTTTCTGACCATTTTGAAAAAAGTTACACTTCGCCAAAAGTTCAAAATGTCCAGGACCCCTATCGGGAAGGGTGGCTCCCATTGGATGTAATTATAAAATTGCTTAAGAGAGGCCGAATCGCTCCAACTCTTTTTTATTATGTTAGGGCACGTAGTTGGCTAAAATTTTGTTGGGGGCCACTTGAGTCTCGGATTTGGTTTTGGGGGTGATAAGGTTCAAAAGATCGGGGTCGAAAAGTCGACTTTTTAACGCGTGAATTGAAACTCGATTTGAGTTTCCTATGTTGTAGAGCGTCCTTTGAAACCTCTAAAAATATATAGTTTGTTGGGGGTACACTTGAGTCTGGGAAAGTTATAGGCCAAAAATTGAGTTTTTGGGGGTCAAAAATTGACCTTTTTTGGGCTATAACTTTTTTTAAAAATTTTTTAAAAATAAACGGATTTCGGATTCGGATTCAGCACCTATTAGAGTACCATAAAACATATTAATCTCGAAGTCGAATTTTTCGTCTCAGGTTCGACTTTTTGGGGGTCATACCCGGTGGGGTACCTGATTGAAAGTCTGAATGAAAATATTGTCCGGTTAAGTTGTAGAGGGCCCTAAACTATGTCGAAAATGTATACATTGTAGAAGGTCCACTTGAGTCTCAAAAAGTTATGCCCAATGTTCGCAAATGTCGCGAAACTTTTTGAGACTCTAACTTCATAGGAAAATTTTTAAAAATTTTTCTGAGACCGGATTCGGACTCAGCACACCTAAATGCACCATATAGGTCGTTTTTTGACCTAAAATAAAAAAATTTTTTCCCCGACCCCATCCCAAAAGGGGTACGTACCCCTTTTCGCCGAATTTTGGGATTTTTTAAAACGGCATAACTTTTTTTGGGATTTTCGGATTTGGATGTGGTTTCTTTATAAAAATAGACCAAAAAATTAGGACCAAAAAAACTTTACCGGCGCGGGCCGAAGGCCCGAGCTTTCAACTCATCCCGGAAGGCAGGGCTAAACTTTACCAGCGAGGGCCGAAGGCCCGAGCTTTCAACCCATCCCGGAAGGCAGGGCTAAACTTTACCGGCGAGGGCCGAAGGCCCGAGCTTTCAACCCATCCCGGAAGGCAGGGCTAAACTTTACCGGCGAGGGCCGAAGGCCCGAGCTTTCAACCCATACCGGAAGGCAGGGCTAAACCTTACCAGCGAGGGCCGAAGGCCCGAGCTTTCAACCCATACCGGAAGGCAGAGCAATGAAATTAGAAGGCAAGGCTAAACTGTACCTGCGAGGGCCGAAGGCCCGAGCTTTCAACCCATCTAAAAGGCTGAGCAATGATCGAAAGGCAGGGCTAAATTTACCTGCGGAGGCCGAAGGCCCGAGCTTTCAACCCATCCCGGAAGGCAGGGCTAAACTTTACCAGCGAGTGCCGAAGGCCCTTTCTTTCAACCCATTTCTGAAGGCAGGGCTAAACTTTACCAGCGAGGGCCGAAGGCCCGAGTTTTCAACCCTTCCCGGAAGGCAGGGCTAAACCTTACCAGCGAGGGCCGAAGCCCGAGCTTTCAACCCATCTTAGAGGCAGAGCAATGAAAGAAAAGGCAGGGCTAAACTTTACCTGCGAGGGCCGAAGGCCCGAGCATTCAACCCATTTAAAAGGCAGAGCAACGCATTAAAATGCAGGGCTAAACTTTGCCGGCGAGGGCCGAAGGCCCGAGCTTTCAACCCATCCCGGAAAAATTGGCCGATATTTTAAACTTTGCAAAAAAATTTTAAAGGTGGGCAAATGATATATCAAATGAAAGCCCTCAGTGAGCTGAGTCTAAAAATAATATCAGAAAAAATTTCTGACCATTTTGTACAAAGTTATGCTTGACCAAAACTCCGACCACAGCCGATTAAACATTCTAGCGGCGCGCGAAGCGCGCCCCAAAGCCGTTAGGCTTTCCAACGGGCACCCCAAAATTTTACCGCCAGAGTGCTGTAACTAACCGCCATCGCATACGTAACCCATAGCTAGTTATATTATACTAAAAAAAACCACCAAGTGCCCCATCATTTGTGGGTAAAATCGGGCTTTTTTCGTTTAAAAACTAATTTGAGTCGAACGAGTTCCGGGGGATTTTTTTGAGTTGTACATTAGTCCTACAACTTTTTGACGCGCATTCAGGAAAATTATAGCCGTGGCGCCAAAACGTACCTCTGCGCCGAAACGGCCGTCGGTAAAATTCAAACGGCTGTAACTCGGAGAGGTGAAGTCGAACCAAAAAGTGACTGGGGCGAGGGCCCTAAGTTGGGATAGGGTCTATAACGCTGAAAAAAAATTGGAGGCCTGGGAACAACTGTCCGACCTGTGGAGGTTGGCAAAAATTCACCGATTGTCGGTGAATTGTCCTACCTCGTCCGACGAAATTGATCGACAATTTACAAATTATATACCAATCGAAAGCTCTCATCGAGCTGAGTCCGAAAAAATTTATTTTAATTTTTTCTGACCATTTTGAAAAAAGTTACACTTCGCCAAAGGTTCAAAATGTCTTGGACCCCTATCGGGAAGGGTGGCTCCCATTGGATGTAATTATAAAATTGCTTAAGAGAGGCCGAATCGCTCCAACTCTTTTTTAGTATGTTAGGGCACTTAGTTGGCTAAAATTTTGTTGGGGGCCACTTGAGTCTCGGATTTGGTTCTGGGGGTCATGAGGTTCAAAAGGTCCGGGTCGAAAAGTCGACTTTTTAATGCGTGAATTGAAAGTCGATTTGAGTTTCCTATGTTGTAGAGCGTCCTTTGAAACCTCTAAAAATATATACTTTGTTGGGGGTACACTTGAGTCTGGAAAAGTTATAGGGCAAAAAGTGACATTTTGGGGGTCAAAAATTGACCTTTATTGGGCTATAACTTTTTTTAAAATTTTTTTAAAAATAAAAGGGCTTCGGGAATGGATTCAGCACCTATCAGAGCACAATATAGCATATTTATCTCGAAGTCGAATTTTTCGACTCAGGTTCGACTTTTTGGGGGTCACACCCGGTGGGGTACCTGATTGAAAGTCTGAATGAAAACTTAATCCGGTGATGTTGTAGAGCATCTAAAACTACACTGAAATGTAAAATTTGGGCATGGTCCACTTGAGTCTCAAAAAGTTATGGCCAATGTACGCAAATGTCGTAAAACTTTTTGAGACTCTAACGTCCCTGCGAATTTTTTAAATTATTTTCGGAGGACGGTTATAGGCTCAGCGGGTCTTAATGTACTATATAAGCTTTATTTTATGTCGAAATTGAACTTTTATGTTTTCTGACACTATTTCCTTCAGGTTTTGACCTAAGACACGTTTTTTCGAAAATTTTTGCTGATTTTCAAATTTTTTATTGCAAGTGTTATATTTTTTTTAAAGCGCTCGGCCAGCCGCATCGAATAGGCTGTATTTTAATAGTTAGCATCATAATTTTAAAAATTACATTTTTTGGCGTTTTGTTATTTTTCCAAATTTTTTCTTTTTTTTTACGGTTTTATTTTTTCAATTTTTTCTTTCGTTTATGTTTAATTTTAATTATTTAAATATCTTTTATTATTCTTTGTTTGTTTTTAGTGTAGTTGTTTTGTTTTAGCCCGCTATGAGGGTTTATAATGAAAATTTGCCGTTATTGGGATCGGAAATTGCAATTATTTTCCGTTATGAGATGGAAAATGTGAGTATTTAACCAAAAAATTTTTTGATTTTTTTAACCAATTTTTTGTCTACTTTTCTTTTCTTTAGTGCCCGTCAACCTTTTAGAAGGCCAAGAAGCCAGATTTCTTCCTTTTTCAGTTTGTTTTTTAGTTTTTATTCTTTGCGCATAATTTAAGTTTTTCTTTTTTCAGGGGTCGGTAAACTTCATCTAAGACTTAATATTGCTGTGAGACCAATAGCAATCAAGTACTGTCAAGGAAAGTTGTAAAGCACTTTGAAGAGAGAGTTTAAGAGGGCGTGAAACCGGTGAGGTGGAAACGGATAGAGGTGGCGTTTTGCTGCCTTTTTTGGAGTGGCAGGTTTATTTGAATTTAAATGTTTTATTAACCTAATATTTCTAAGACTCAATATTGCCACGAGACCGATAGCAATCAAGTACTGTGAAGTGAAGTTGTAAAGCACTTTGAAGATTAAAGAGGACGTGAAACTGGCGAGGTGGAAACGGATAGAGTCGGCGTATCTTTCAAGTATTCAACGCGAGAGGTTTTTATTTTTTAGATTTCTTCCTTTTTTAAAGAATATTTCCTTTTTGCGGGTTCGCAAATCTTGAGAATTTCTCTGGCTTTTTAGGTTTTTCATTTCCCTGTGGTTATCTAAAATTTCAAAGGTCAAGAAGCCATATTTCTCCCAGCAATGAGTATGCGTTTTACGTCTATAGGAAGGTTGAGCCGCAAATTTCGGGAAAAGAAAAATTTGGGGAGTGGAAATTTGGGAAATTTGGGGATTTTAAAAACTGTATCTTTCTTTTGTAAGGCGTTTGCGCTTGAATGATCGTCAAAAATACTTTCTTAGTTCGGTTTCCAAAATTCTCAAAAATTGTTTCCATTTTTTTGAGATATATTAATTGAGATATTAATTGAGATATAAACATTATAAGTGGGGTACGCGTTTACGGAGTGTCCTCCTCAGTGGTGTGCAGTTGCAATTTTCGTCTTTCGCCTTTCGCTTTTTAAAATCTTTTTGGCACTTCTTACTTTTTTCGTCTTTCGCTTTTTAAAATCTGTTTCAGCACACCACTGCCCATCATTCAATATTTATTTAAAATATTTTGATTTAAATTTTATTTAATTTATTTTTTGATATTATTTTGGTTATTTTTTGTTTGATTTTTTTGCCAATTTGTTGTTTAATTTTTATTTTTTGAATTTATTTGTTGGTAAAAGTTTTTTGAAAAATTTGTTTTATATAGTTTTGCTATATCCATATTCAAAAAGTATTTACAGCACATCATAATTAGTTGAAACAAATAATTTTGCCGTGTTTATTTCTTTCACTTCTTCCAGACGGTATTTTAGTTGAAGTACGAAATGGTTGATCATTTCTTCCTTACATAATTTAAATGTATTATATATTAAATGTGACAACAACCTTCTAGCCGCGCGCGAAGCGCGCCCCAAAGCCGATAGGCTTTCCAACGGGCACCCCAAAATTTTACCGCCAGAGTATGCTATTCGCGCCATCGCATACGTAACCCACAGCTAGTTATATATATATATAATATCAAGGAGTTTCGTTTTTAAAAAATTAAGGCTCCCGGCCGAAGGCCGGGAGCTCCCTGAAAGTTGTGGATCGGTCCTACAACTTTTTAATGCGCATCTGGGAAAAATATGGAAAAATCCCCGCGATGAAGTTTTGGCACCGAAACGGCCATCGTCACGTACCTATCTCGTGAACCAAAAGTCGGAGCGGAAAGGTCCCGCTTGGAGGGCCCTAAGTTACTATTAGGGGGTTTCAACAAAAAAAAAATTTTGAAAATCGGGTGAACTCCTGGGGACTTATGGGCGCGCAAAAATTCACCGACTGACGGTGAAATGTCCGATTTTGTCGGACTAAACGTCGTTTTTGGGGTATATCTCGGGAACGGTTTGGAGGATTAAGATGGGGCCTGGGGGGTTATAGGTAAGTGGCTACGGGGAATTTTTTGGGATAGGCCATTTTGGTGCCACACTCAAGTGCGGCACCGAAATGGCCGAATGAGTATTTCAAACGGTTATAGCGGGTTTTTGAGAACTTGGGGGTCTTTGGGCCTGGGAGTGGTATTTGAGGGTTGGATGTTGGGAAAATATTTGGTGTTGGACACTAGAGTCTCTGGTGAACTTTTGGGGGTGTTATGGTCCAAAGAGTCGGGGTCGAAAAATCGACTTTTTGTAAAGTGAATTGAAACCGGTTTTCGATAGCTCAAGTTAAAGAGCGTTCCCTGGCGGTCAGAAAAAGGTATAATATGTCGGGGTACACTTGAGTCTCAAAAAGTTATAGCCAAATTGGCCAAATGTCGCGAAACTTTTTGAGACTCTAACGTCCCGGGGATTTTTTTTAAAATTTTTCTGACGCCGGATATGGACTCAGCGGGTGCGAGAGCACCATATAGGGTGTTTTT